CTATACATCTACTGTATGCTATTCTGTATATTGTGCATCTGTATTGTATGTGCTGGTCAACATGTTGTGTGGACTTCTGCTTGTGTAACCGCCCTTTATCTTGAAGCTTCTCAGTCCAACAGCCTTAGAAAAGTGAAGAGAGAAAGTCGAAGTGTCCTTCTAGATTAAGGTGCAAACTCATCTTTTATTCAGAATGGCAGCCCCACGTCCCCTCCAACCACCCACGAGAAATTATTGAAGTACTGTAGCATATAAAGGAGTGGAAGGGCAAGAGTGAAAAGAAAAAAATAAATATATCTGTCATATTCTTGTGAGAATAAACGTTTATTTTTCAAGAAAAAAAGTACCTTTTTATTGATGCCATAATCCTGTAATTCCTAAACTGTGGTACGAGCACCATTTTGTGGTCCTTGAATGGTGAATGAAGTTGTATTTAACGTTTAGTACAATTTTCTTATGTTTCGGAACCATGTTAATGTTCACAGTGTGCATAATGTTACAGTGAATTGCAACTGCAATTATTTTCATGAACACATACATACTAAACTACACGTACTAAGCTACTGTATTTTAATGTTGGTATTTTTTATAGGTGGCATTGCTGTAAAAGGTTTGCGAACGACTGCTGTGATGAATTGTAATTCTATGAGAAGATAAAAGTCTGATAGAAACATTTAAATCAATGCCAACACTAAAAAACTTTTTAGATAAACGATGTACGTATTTTTATTATTCGATCATTTAATTGACATTTTATTTGAAATGTTTGACATTTCAGGCAGCCCGGTGCTCTAGTGGTTCGAGCGTCGACATCACAGTGCAGAGGTCGTGGGTTGGATTTCAGCTCCGGCCTTCCGATGTTGTGTTCGCATGTTCTGCCTGCGTGTGTCACGATTGCAAGGTGGTGGTGGACCCCAAAAAGCAGGCACGAGAGAGGAGCAGGTTGTACTTGATGAATTGTATTAAAACAGAGAAAACTAAATCCTAAACAAACAAAGTCCAAAGTATCAAACAAAACACATGACTGAAGATAAAGCATAACAATGACCAAAACCTGACTGAAACAAACATGACAGTAGCATACAAACAGCCACAAACAATGACCCGACCATGAGTGCTCGGGCTGGGAGTCCTTTTAAAGCACTAATTACATAACGACCAACAGGTGTGCAGCTGCAGGGAGAGCCCTACAGTGCCACCTGTTGGTCCCAAACCGAATCATGACAGCGTGGATTTTCTCCGGGTACTCCGGTTTCCTCCCACATTTCAAAAACATGCATGACAGGGTGATTGAACACTCAAAATTGTCCCTAGGTGTGAGTGCGGATGGTCGTTCGTCTCTGTGTGCCCTGCGATTGGCTGGCAACTGGTTTCAGGGTGTCCCCCGCCTACTGCCCAAAGACAGCTGGGATAAGCTCCAGCACCCCCCGCGACCCTCGTGGGGATAAAGTGGATCAGAGAATAGAATGATGGATGTTTGACATTTCTTTTTCTCAGGTCCAAATTGTTCCAAAAATGCAATTTTCTCTTGATAAACTCTTCCCTTTTTCCACATTTTTTTTCTTGAGGATGGATGTTCTTTCAGTTTAAAAGTCATGGAGTTAAAAACGGTACTATCTTTAAAAAAAAAAAAAAGTTGTATTTCTGAGCTTTTATGTCAAAAGGTTATCATAGGTAAAAGTGAAACTAACTTGCACAGTTGCATAAACTGATGAGGCCTTCTCAGATGAAAGGTGGAACACCTCGAGACAACCAGAATAGTCCACGACGTCTTTTTTGTTCATCCATCCATTATGTGAACTCTTTATCCACACAAGGATTGCAGGCACACTGGAGCCTATCCCAGCTGCCTTCGAGCAGCAGGCGGGGTACACCATGAACTGGTTGAAAGCCAATCGCAGGGCACACATAGACGAACAACAATTCGGGCTCACAATCATAACATGGGACAGTTTAGTGTTGCATTAACCGATCTTGCATGTTTTTGGAATGTGGGTGGAAACTGGGGTTCCTGGAGAAACCTGCAGGCACGGGGACAACATGCAAACTCCAAACTGGAAGCCCGGAGCCGGAAGCAAACCCTGCACCACCGAACTATGAGCTGGATTTGCTAATCTGCTAATCTGTCGACCACCATGACACTCACATGTACAGTTATTGGGGGAGAAATGAGAGAGAGAGAGAGAGAGACAGAGAGAGAGAGACAGAGAGAGAGAGAGAGAGGAAAACATGTGTAATTTTAAAAAATACTCTTTTTTTCTTGGAGAACAAGTCATTTTTCCCCTTTGACTGGTACACATAGTTTGTATTTTCAGTATTTTGTAGGTGGAATATAACATTTTGAAATTAATTGTGTTGGAAGTAATTCAAAGAGTCAGTTCAGTTGAAATCTTCGTGAGAAAACTTTTTCTGGCACAAAGACATTTTGCGTGTGTCCTGAATGCGGTGTTGAATAGCAGAGAGGAGGAGAGAGAAGAGGAAGAGGAGGACGAAGAGGAGTGACGAACGGGAGTGAAGGGGTGACCCCACACTGTGCCTGTCGACGTGCAAATGTGAATCATCAGACATCCCAATCAGCGCAATGCTCGCCACGTTCGCCACCTACCAGGCACAGATGGTGTTTGTGAAAGACGTGAAAACACCGCGCCAGGATCCGGTGGAGTGCTCCGCGATCTCCTTGCAACTTTTTGCTCGCTGGTGGAAAAGTGGAGGTCATGTGACGACACTTGTCCAACTCTTCAGAACACAGCAAATTGGGTGAAAATGTGCCGCAAAGTGGCCCCTGATGATCATAAACACGAACACCATGAAAATAATCTTTTACAGAATTTCCTGGAGCTGTGGGAAATGATAAAAGTCAGAGAAATATTATGGGTATACAATCATTTTTTTTGGGAGTATTTTGAAATATAAGTTGTGTCAGTCAGAGAATAAAACTTATTTTTTCAAGATAATCAAAAAAGGTGTTTTTGTGTTTTTTGTTTTTTAAATGCTGGAGAATACATATTTACTACGAGTAAAATTAAATTATTTTCGAATGAAAAAAAACCCCAAACACAGAACAACAACAATAAGAAAAACGTTTGGGACAAGTAAAAACTGTCTACTTACTAAACCCACGACAGCATATTCAAATGACTAGAGCCAACAAGTGCACACATGGCACGCAGCTGAAGTGTGCTGCTTACACACGGCTGGCCAAATGACTTTGGAGCCTTCAGTGCGTCACATCCACCTTCAGAAGCTAAGAAATTAGCTCATCAGAGGGACAACCAAGGTTAGATGGTATAGGGTTAGAGAGAGCCGACTTAGCTGTTTTGGACACATCCAGAGGCGACATAGAGAGCACAGCGGTAGAAGAGGAATGAGAATTTCGCCGCTGGGACAGAGACAAAAGAGGAAGACCTAAGAAAAGGTTCATGGATGGAGTAAGGGAAGATAGGAGGGCAGTTAGTGCAAGAGAGGAGAATGCAGAAGATAGACTTCAAAGGAAAAGGGTGAGCCCTAATGGGACAAGCCGAAAGAAAAAGAACAGATGTGCGCGAATTAGTAAAATCTGCCAATCCGTCATTCGTCATTAGCCAGCGGCTGGGCCACCCGTCCATCATCGTCAGTCCGTCATTATTTAAAACCAGCTTAATCTGTCATTGTCAGTCCGTCACTCCAATATTGCTATTTTAAGGACTGTCAGTCAGTCTGACATCATCAGTCTGTCATGGTTGCTTTAATTATGCTACCGTCATCGCAAATTTTGTTTTTTAAAAATGCTTTAGGACCGTCAAATCTTCTTCAGAGGCGTTGCATCGGCAACTGCTAAAAATGTCACAAGCACACACACACACACACACACACACACACACACACACACACACACACACACACACACACACACACACCATGGTGAATAAATAAAATCAATGTGAGACAACATCATTGTGGTACGTGAGAGCGAGAGGTATAAACACTGCCAGCGTCATTTGCCGGCTGAGACCAAGACAAAAACTAAGCAGGCTTGAAGAACGGGGAGTGAGAAAGTTGACTTCTCCTGTGAGTGGGTTGACTTGTTTGCAGCTTTTGAACTGTGACCCAAGATAGCAGTTAGCAGCCAACACAACCACCTGTCACCAGAGTGACGAGCGATGTTCAGAAATGTTTTCTTTTTCCTCTTTTTCGCTCAATGCAACGCCGGACGGTATTGTCACCTCTGCATGCAAATACACGCGAGACAGTTGTCAGCGAAATGGGCATCAATCAATGATGAATTGAGAAGATCCATCTGTACTGACTCGGTTAGTGACGATTCCAGTGACAGACGAAAACCAACTTCCATCAGTGCATTGTTTGTCTTTTTTTTTTTTTTTTTTTATAGTTGTCTGTCATTCGCCAGCAAAACAAACATTCCATCAGTGATGGATCTTCCCTCAATACTGATGGAATGCCCACCTCTGGAAAAGAAGAATGTTTATCCTACCGTGTTAAATCATTCTTGATAAATATTGTCAGAAATCAGGGATGCCTTGCGTGTGGGCGCATTAAGATGCAAACAAAAGAGAAAGTGTGTACACTGTGCAAGGAGGCTCATTAACTGCATGGCATCGCATTAACCTTCCTTGTCGTGATTTGCGACAATTAAAAACAACAACAAACCTTGAGGGGAGCAGATATGGGAAAAGCATCATTAAAAAAAAAAAAAAAAAGCTGCAATGGCAAACAGAAGCTTGAGCTCACTTGAACGTGCAGATAATGATTTGGTGATGTATTCAATGCAAATTAGACAGAACACAATAGCATTAACTCAAACACAGCCAATGTTATGTGCCGTGAGGCAAACAAAAAGACCAGGACCCAGGAAAGCAGAGATATGTACCAAAAATCTTTTTTTTTTTTTTTCCCAAAGTAGCAAAACAAAATTGATATACTCAAAAACAAAACTATGAAAAACTCAAGAAAACAAAGTAGCAATTGAAGATGTCCTACAGGGACATACTCGTGACAAAATCAACTCAATCACTCTGCGACTCTTGGGGCTGGAACACATGGCAGCACAGAACAATAGAGAAGCAGGTTAAATAGGCTACCACCTAATCAAACTATCCCTCCATTAGTTTTCTTGGCTACATCCTTGCCCGGGGTCAGCTTGGGCCAGATTCCGCTAAGATTGAGCCAGTGACGAGCACACACGAGACGGGCTCTGTTCCCTAATTGTTTTGAAGGGACACACAAAAGGGCCGGCAGTGGCGCTCCCTGTCTTCTGAGTCCCACACGGAGGGATGCGAAGGCTAAGCAAGCCTTCAGTAGTGGCGGCAACTCTGATTTTTATTTTTATTTTCTTTTACTTTTTTATTCTGAACAATCTTGATGTGTGATGGGCCTAACAAGTTAGCGTTCACTCGGTGATTCTGTAACATTTGGCAGCTCTGCGTTTTGCCACTTGAATGCCAGCCCATTTGCTGTTTTGTGTTTAAATATGATTGTTTGAGCTGCGAAAATACAAATTTTACGTCACAAACTACGATGAGAAACTGCTTATTCTGTGCCTTGTCTTAAATTTAAGACGTGAAATAAAATTGTCCATTGAATAATTTGTGAGATATAGTCTATACTTTAAGTCTTACTTTCATGACCAAATAATGTATTTCATGAAGAACAAGTAAAAAAAAAAAAATTTGTGGCCTTAAGTTTGAAGAAAATTGCCGCAAGTGGCATCTTGAAGCCCGCAGATGCTTGGAGGTGCTATTTCTTGTGTGAAATTGACAGATGCTCTGTGTGCATGAGTGCTGCTGAATTGTTGCACCATGACATCCAGCGTGTGTCATAACCGGGACACTGTTATTCCAACAGCGCAGCGAGCCAGAAGCAGAAAGGATGAAAGACAAATACGACAATTACAAAGCTGATCAATGAAAGAACTGGGAACGTGGAGAATGGTTAGGAGATAACAAGGAGGGGAAAGATTGAAAGAAAGAATCGCACAGAGAAAAGTCGCACTGGAAGGATAGAGATGGCCAATCTGCGGGTATCACCCTGAAAAACATCTTGTAGCAGAAAAACATGCGCCACCAAGCATTGATTGCAAACATGGTTTGCTGCTCAAATTGCACTTGGTCGCTGCTGGAAACTGTTTTCACGTTTTAATACTCAAAAACATTTAGTGGGAGCGCTTTTGCCAAACATTTGGCGAGAAAAAATGTGACTTTTTTTTAAGAGAATAATTTTGAAAAGATTGAGATTTAGGATGGAATTTTTGTAAAGATTTTTTTTTCTCCAAGGATGAGAATCAGGATGATATCTTTTGAAAGAAAACAACGTTTTGTTTCATGAATCAAGACAGATTCATTAAAAAATGTCGCAGTCCTCACTGAGGTGTTCTGTCACCCTGGCCACCCTAGTGAAAATATTCTGGCTACGCTCCTGGGCATGGTGGAGAAAATGTAATGATTCACCATAAAACATTAGTCAACCAGAGGCGATTGCTCTAAGACTACAAGGGAAGCTCAGCTTCCCCTAAAATGTCAAAAAATAAGTGATCAAATATATGTGTGTACATTAAATTGTGTGTACATGTCATTGACTAAATACGCGCTACAACACACTCAACTTTTGTTCAGAATCAGCTTCTTATTACTGGTTACAACGCAACTCTTTTCTCATTCATTCCCGTGGCTTCACTGTGCTTTAACATGTGTGGACGCTGACCCTTCAGAGCCCATTGTCCCAGTCCATTAAAACGAGACAAGTCATTGGATAAATGCTGGTTTTGTCCCGCCCACTGGACGCTCAGCGTCTCTGAGAGTCTATGGACAGTGGGCCTTTATTGGCTGGCCCGGACGCTCAGGTTTTCTGCATGATGATTTGATGATCTGTCTGAGGCTGAATCTCTTTTTGATTGACAGCGAAATGAGCCAATCACCAATCTTTGGGTGTAGGCATCCGTAGCAACATTTTTCAATTCTCATTCTGTTCTGGGTTGAACTGGAGACTTCTTCTAATCATCTTAGCGACACTCTCTTTGTTGAAAACGACTAGCGACAAATTAATCTTTTATTTCTGGTGGGTTTTATTGTAGTTGCTTGTGTTCGCAGACCGACTGACATCACCACAGTTTCCATCCTAACTGAGCAGCGGGACACTAGTTAAGTCCCAGGAAAAGACGCCTTGTTGGTATGACAGGGTCACAGATCATTTTCTTGAAAAGGAACGGAGAGTAGAATTCACGTATAAATAAACGGAAACGTTTTATGATGTAGGTCGAAATTGAGCTTCCCCTCCTTGACGGACCAGAATCCGCCACTGTAGTCAACCTATATCACCCTATGGAATTTTCTGAAAAACTTCAGCCAGTTTCGTTTAGCCACATGCAATTTGGGAGTCATGCATCAGATCGTGGATCTAGAAAAATATCTCCGCCAATTCTATTCAAAAACAAAGAGAAATTCTGCAATTTTAGTTTGCAGCACGAAATCTAATGTACTGTATTGTCAAGTATCACGTTCACTTCCATAAATTCGCAGCAGGGGGCGACATAGATATTTTAATACAAATGATTAACTTTTGATGTTTGAGAAACAAATTTTAGCGGTGCTCTGGATTTGGCATCATTTGTTGAGATATTTGCGCGACATCATATTATTTGTGTTAATTTGTATCATTTCCACCCCCCCCCCCACCACACACCTTTTTATTACTTGCTCAACATGTGTGCGTTCACGTCTCCTTCCTCGCGCGCACGTTCGCTCCGCATGAATGAGGAGTGGCGGCTTGAGCGCGCGCACGTCTGCGTGGAAGCATGTGTCACTCACATGAGGAGGCGGGACCAGAACGCGCACGTACACACTCACAGCCGCGCTGCATCCACTTTTTCTCCCCGCGTCGGACAATCTTCCCAAATATCAACGCACACACGCAGCTGGCTGGCTGAACACGCCTCGTCCTAAGTCATCCGGTCTTCCTCTCGTATCGGTTGCGTGCGCGCCTCCCAGGTCCGTGTGTGGAGCTCCGAGATCGGAGGACGATGTAATTTTTGGAGGGGGTTTGGATTTAGCGCCGTGACAGGCTGGACGCGCGCAGAGACATGGTAAGTAGTCTCCTTTTCCACGCTACCTTTGCGGCATTTTGACCTTCCTCAGTCTTTGAAGTCTCTGCGGGGTGAAGTGAACTTCAGGGCTTGTCAGAAAGCCTCACATCAGAACCATTCCTCCTTGCAGGGAGAAAAGTAGTTTCACTTTAACAACCTTCGTTTGTGAAACATTGATCTGGGGTGATCTGATTTTTAGGGTCTGAGGATGGAGGAATGCTCCCTTTAAATTGAAATTGCTCGAATTCTTTATTTTTCTAAATGTTCATTTTCATAATGTTACGACTCGTGACAATATATTGTTTGGTTGGAATAAAAGAGCCCCCAGCCCCCACCCCCAAATGTGTCTATTTAGTGAACAGTGCAATTCTTTAATTTATTTATTTTGAAATTCAGCTTCCGGTTGGCATCTCTATCATGAGTAGACCCATAAAAGACTGACAAAAAAAATTTAAAAATCTATGCCAGGAAGTCTGACATTTTGAGTTACATGTTTTTAAGTGCATTATGGCCATTTATGACACCCAAGCCAGTTTCGTGCAGCAATATTAATTTTGGAATACATTGTCTGTCATGTGGTCGACTGGTTAGCACATCACAGTGCAGAGGTCGTGGATTAAATTCTGGCACCGGCCTTGCTGTGTGGAGTTTGCATATTCTCCTCGTGCCTGCATGGGTTTTATCTGGGTACTCTGGTTTCCTCTCACATTCTCAAAACTTGCATGGCAGGTTCATGATACACTCTAAATTGTCCCTGTGAGCGCAAATGGATGTTTGTCTATGTGTGATCTGCGACTGGCTGGCAACCACTTCAGAGTGTACCCCACCTACTGCCCAAAAACAGCTTGGATAGGCTCTAGCATGCCCGCGACCCTTGTGAGGAGAAGCGGTTTCAGATAATTGATGGACGGGTGGATTGTCTGTCATTAGTAAGCCCATAAAAAAGTCTCAAAAACATTAATCGAAACATGGCATTCGGATTAATATTGTTTGTGGATTACGAATTTAACAGCAAAATCCACCCGTTTTTATCCATTTTGGGGTGGAGCCGTTTTATCGCTTGTGTCTAAGGACTCAGGGAACGACCAATCACAGCTACAACCTAGACAACAGGTGAGTCGCGATAGGTGTATTGGTGCCGTGTTTAGACAAGTGGGGGTGGATAAAACAATGACTTGACTTCCCTTTTAAAGATAACATTTTATTTGATATTAACTTTTACATGGGTGACTTAAAGACCAACATGTCTTTGAGCGATTGGCTGATTGCTAACAAATTTGAACTTTGTGTGTAGTTGACAGATGAATGATGCAAAATGGAAGAATATTTGGGTTTTCCTCACTGTGTTTGTGTGTGCGTGTGTGTGTGTGTGTGTGTGTGTGTGTGTTTTCATGCTCACAACCCCTACCAAACATAATATTTCACCTGGATGAACAAGCATGAAATACAGGGTGAAGTTTTGAGTCTTTGACTGTGACAAAGCCCCCACAAAGGCATTTTATTCGGGCTGAGAATAAGAGCAACGAGGCAAGAAAGCAATTTCAGTAAACACAATACATTGTAATTACATCTAACAGCAGTGGTGTATGTGGGAGTGCTACAGCACATATGTACGTATGTGACACCAGTGCGTGATTCAAAAGCTTTCTGCCATCTGTCAAGAGTCAAATGAGATGACATGCATGTCTTGGCCTATGTGACAGGGTAGCGGAGGGGTGTTCGGTAATCCATGGATCTTCTCATTGATTGACACGAGTCAACACTCTGAAGAGCTTTCATTCTAAGGGATTATGTTTGTATTGCTTGGATTGGTGCACCACTTCTGCACTGCGGGATGTCATTACTGTTGTCATAAGTGTTTTTCATTTGGTTCGGAATTGTTGAAAAATTCACTTTGCGAAGCCAGTTTCTGTTGGCAACATGAACTTTGTCTGTGATTAACAGACCCACAAAAAAGTTTCAGGAAATCAAAAGACACTGGGAGCCTGTCATTTCGAGTTGAAACGATCACTTTCGGAGTAATTTCCGGGGACCCTGGCCTCGTGCAAATCTTTAAAAATTCAGCCCTTGAAATCTGTTTCATTTCAGGGCAAATGTAAACCATGAAATTTGGTCTATCATGAACAAACGCATCAAAAGGTTTCGGAAAACTATGGCAGGAAGAGTCAGTAAGTCCGCCATTTTGGTTTTAAGTGGCATTTCAAAGTGTCATTTCGAGGGGTCTTGGCCCACATTCAGCCCCTGAAGGCAGTTTCACTTAGCAATATCAAATTTGGTAGTCAAGTCTTATCACGAGTAGACCCACAAAACAGTCTCAAGAAACTATGCCTGTAAAGTTATAGAAAGTCTGTCATTTTGGTTTAAAGCTGACATATTATAGTCCTTTTGACCCCTTCCAGGTGTCCTTTCAAAGACGGACTCACCCTGGAGGTGACATCATTTCAACCTTGGATACTAGACATATGGTTATCAACCTTCAGTTTTTCCACTGTATGCACAGTATAAAGTCCTATATATACTGTATTTGATTTACTTTCTATAGTTCAAGGTCTTGACAATAGAAACTATGAGCACACTACGTCTTGCTTTTTATGGTTATGCAACATTTTATGGAGCTTCTGGCGGGGTCGAAGGTGCTGATTATGCTTCGTGGGAGCGCAGGCGGTTCACACCTTGGCCCGCCTGCACGTAACCGGCTTGCACGCCGCTTGCAACAGCGACAGGCACAATTGATAGTGGCACGGAATGACATTGCGGGCGGGGATGTAGATCTGCAAGCTACAGCTTACGCCATGTGGTAATGAATGGACTTGATTGAGGAGCGTTCTTGAAGGTAAGTATTGATAAGGACGGCACCTTTGTGCATTCTTTTTGTTGTGCTTTGAATTCAAAGTAGCCTTCATGTGTAGAGTTACTCAGAGGAGGACACGCTCAGTATGCCGCTCCTGTTTGATACACAAGGAAAGTGTCTCGTAATTCATTTGAAATTCATTCCACCAAGGTGAAGAAGAAAGCAATGGCATTGAGTTAAAGATTCAAGATTGGCTTTGGGATGCAAACTTGGATTCGTGTTTCAAATAAATGTTAGGGTCTCAAATGAAGGTAGGGTGCCTAATAATGCTTAGTGTTTCAAACAAAGGTTAAGGTGTCTAATGAGGCGTTCACACAATTAAGATGTCAAATTAAAATTCTGAAATTAGGGTTTGAAGCCTGTTTTAAGCTTTAAATTAGTGTTAAAACAGAATTAGGGTTTAAAGTTAGGGCTATAGACCTCATTTAGGGTATAAAAGTTGGTGTAAATAAGGTCCATAAGCCCCAGAAGAAAGGAAAAAAAAAAAACCCCAGCTGTCCAGAATTCCCCCAGACACCGGATTTTTGTAAATACTCGTAGAATAGCTCACACTGACTGAATGGTATGGGAGGAGGCAATGACAATTTGTCCAATCACCTGTCAGTCACTTTGAGTCTCGATGACGTGACATGGAGAGATTTGTGTTTGTGTGTGCACGTGCTTGTGTTTAGGGAAGGGGCCTTTGGTAAAAAGACAATGTAGACGTGCATATACTGGATGTTATTTGGGACTTCTGACAAAGGTTGAGTTGTTAACAGTTACTAGGAATGGAAAAATGCGACAACAAGCTCAAGATGAGCCACATGCTGCTTCACCCAAGTTTATAGCCTGTTCTGGTAAATTCCATGACAATGATTAAAAGTGCTTAAGTACCAATAATAACACTGAAATATTACACAATACAATGTTATTGTAATATTTCCATGTTTTTGGAATGCGGGAGGAAACCGAAGTACCCAGAGAAAACCCACACAGGCAGAACATGCAAACTCCACACAGGAAGGCCGGAGCCGGAATCAAACCCCGCACCTCTGCACTGTGAGGCAGATGTGCTAACCAATCGATCACCGTGCTGCCTCCAACTCTCCAATGAAATGCAAATTATCTCACACTCACCTGCCTGTCCAAAGTGTGTACTCCATCACTCCAGACTGTCAAAAAGTCCACTAAAAATGTCTAGTTGCGTGAACTAATCAAAATATTTACAGGCGTTGTTAGAACTCTCAAATACCTCTACAATCCCTCTGCGTTCATAAAGGCTGATTGATATATAAATAGATAGCATGGGGGGAGGTCGGATAGCGGTGAGTCAAAGTGCTACAGGACGGGAGATGCAGGACCGTGGAGGGTTCAACGGGAGGCCGAGACGAAGACGTCTGAAGGACGACCAAGAGTGCGGGAGTTATTTTGGGTTGTTGCACCTCGGGCGTCTCAGTCACAAAGCTTCTGTTTGATGACTTCACCCACTCACAAACCGACCTGAAACACTTCGTGACAGCGTGTGAGGACCCACCGTGTGCCCCTCCCTCGCCTGCACTGAACTGGTCCTAGCGATCGTATTAAAATATGGCATATGCGTGACCAAGCATACTGTTGACTTTTTTTTTATTTTTTTTTTAACTTTGTGGATTATTTCTTGTCATTCATCTCTTTCAATGGTGCAGGGTGGCGGTTATCATGGTTGAATAATTGGCAAGCTATGATCCCATATAACACTTTTCATGTCGGCATGTGCATGGTATGTGATCAAGCATGTCAACTTTTTTGACTGTGTATTTTATTTCTAGTTGTGTTTATTTCTATTGTTCAAGGTGGCGGGTATAATGAAAAACTGGTAAGAAATGATAACATTAGTCATATCACATGTTCATTGCATGCAGGTATGGGACTGAGCAAGCTGTGTACTTCATCTTTTTTCGCTGCGTGCATTATTTTTCGTTGTTGTGTTTCTTTCTATTGCACAAAGTGAGTGGTTAAGCATTGGCCGTAAAACCAATTTTCCTGCAGCAAATACTTCCGAATAGCTATCGTTTGAAATGTAAATCCTATACGGGGTTACAGTCCACTTGCATTGGGGCCAAAAGTGCATGTGCAGCAGCTTGTCAACTCCAGCAGATGGAGTTGAACAAACTCATCACAGCATTTTACAATGGACCACACGAGTCTTCTGTACGTGTGCCCAAACTGCTTTGCAGCAATAAAAGCAGAGCTCACAAAGCAAACTCCGTTACCCCATCTGTTAGTGGGCCGGAAAAGAGAATTAAGGGATGTAAATATATGCAAATGACCCTGATTTATTTCAGCCTGTTGACCACTGAGGCACAGACATCACTGCTGTGGTGGAATTAAAAAAAATAAATAAATAATAAAAAAGGTTCAAGAAATGTGTGAGTGTCACACAAACACACAAAGGCAATTTATGCCGGTGATAAAGCACTGACAAAGATTGCAACTACCTTTAATGCACAAGCGGCTATTTTTAAAATACAATTTGCCCCTCATCCATCCTCAAAAAGTCCTTTGAACCACCTTTGAATCAATAAAACACTGGAAGGCGTGCCAAAAAACAGGTGGTGCTTGGTGATAAACCCCTTGTAAGGCAATTTTAACCAATCAGAAAGCAGAAGACGTAGAAAAGACACAATAACCAAAAACGCTGTTCACGAGATACTGATGCATAATGTGATGTCCTAAAAGGGGGGCAAGCAAAACAACAGAAAAATGGCCCGAATTATATACCATGGAGTTGTTTTTTGGTTTTTGTTTTTGTTTTTTTGTTTTTTTTACTCTGGGGATTATTTCTCATTGCGCCTGTTTATCTCTTGGTGATTGGGAATAATCGGCGAGATGAATGATCGCATTAGTGATACGAGGCACAGAATGCTGATGTGCATGTGGATTCAATGTGACTCTTTGAAATATTTGGAGTTATTCTCATTGTTTGTACTGTGCAAGATGGCTGTGATCATAAATAATTGGTGAGATGAGCAATCACATTAACTGTATGATACACTGCATGCATACATTGGTGTGTCGAGCATGTTTTTTCTTTTTTTTTTTTTTTGCGAGGACTTTGTGAATTATTTCATTGCGTTTATATTAACATGCAAGAGAAACATTTTGAATAACTTGGCGTTGGAGCTTTACAGAGTCTCAAGTTCTTGTGCTGCCATGGGATGATTGTTCGGCGTCTAAGAGCACTCAAGCGTTTGTAAATATGAAGTTATGAGAGCTGAAGTCTCCCTCTCGTTCCCACTCGCTCCGGATGAGAGCTGCTGTTAAAAACCTCCCAAAATGTGCCGGAGCTAATGTGCGCTCACTCATCTTTTATGCATGTGAGGCAGGCTGCCGACCGCCCCCGCACCTGCTCTTCAATGCTCTCGTTTACATTTCATTTACGCTAAACTCGTAGTTAGATCACTTTATTGATGCATTGCTGCACAAATGATTTTTGTTTTGTTTTGTTTTAACGTCAGGCATATTTTTACAAGAATAAAATCGGAACCCATGGCCAGGGACCCAGAGTGGGTTGGTCAGCCCCACCGAAGAATCACCATCTCCAAATCGTTTTAGTTGACAGTTTTATGTAAACAACCTCTCGTCCTCTGCATAGTTTGTGTCCTGTTTATACCGTCTCTACCGACTGAGAGTTTTTGCTGACATCTCAGATGACCCGTGACTTCCTGCGTGTCCATCAAACGCCGCTCCGTGACTCAATCATGTTAATGCGCTGCAACGAAAAAAGCACTTCTATACAGTCCCTCGTATCAACGTATACTTGCTGATGCACCCCCGCCGTCTAGTTTTAGTATGTGAGTATGATAACATTAGCATGTTACCACTGCATGTGGGCAGAGAAGGTGTCATATTTCACATGTGATGTAGGGCAATGATTCCCAACCACTGTGAAATAGCACATTGGTGTGCCGTAAGAGATCATCGGCTGTGCCACAAGAAATTAACCATTTATCAATGATGACATCCTGAGCATATGTATACAACATTGTGGTCTTTTGGTGACTTTGAAAGTTAATACAAGAAGTTGGCAGGTTGGCTCTAGAGCAGTGATGTCCAACTCCGGTCCTCGAGGGCCCGATTTGAATCAGGGCAGTTGGAGGAGGGAAAGATGTAAAACTGGTGAAGAATTGGTGAAGAATTTCAAAAATGTTTATACCTGCCGATAATAAATTATTTGAATGTATCACTTAACACCTGAATATGATTTTGAACTCTTTACCCTTAAAAAATATACGATTTACACGTTATTTGATTTTGAAAAAAAATAACCCAAAGTGTGCATACAGATGAAAAACAGAGACATGGTATAGTACATTTGTGTGTTGTGCTTTTAAATGTTGTGGCCGAGACACCTCTCTCTCACTCTCACTCTCTTTCACACATAGCAGCAGCAGGGATTGAGGAGGGCTTACCTAACCAGCTAGAGCTCGTGAGAGACCCTGTACTCTTCCTTGGTTTCTTAATACCACAAGCACCTGCATAATTCACTTAGGAGCCATACCTCAGGCTAATTTATTGCAACAAACAAACAAACGAACAAAAAAACAAATCTATTTTTTTAACATATGGATTTTGATGCCTACCTTTTTTTCTACCTCACCCTACATATGGCTTTGCCCATCTGTCAGTTTTGAAAATCAAATGTGGCCCTTTGAGCATACAAGTCAGAGGAAATAAGTCAAGGAATTATTGCGCTTCGAAGCCCCCAGTGGAGCTGCCGACACAGCCTCTGAGCGCCTTTCCCCCCCTTATCCTACTCCACATGACCACCTGAATGATATGCTAATGAGGTCCCTTTAAGACCCTCAAAGGGGTTGCCAGGGCAACACACCCAGACTTGTTGGAAGCCCTGACGCTAACATGCAGGAATTGATTTAAATTTTTAATTAAATTGCAAAGAAAAAAAACTTCTTCACATAAGGACGTAGAAATAGTCTGTTCTAGGGTCAAACTGTTGCCCCTCAGAAAAACTTCGACACATTAGGCATGCTTTTTGTCACATTTTGAACAAAGGGAGCGAGTGTTATTATTCAAGCCTAAAAATGAATTAAAAAAAAATATATATATATATATATATATATATATATATATATATACATATATAAATAAAATATTTTTTAAACTATAAAAATAGGCTAAGTACTTTGTTATCAAAACAATAACATACAATAAGACTGCTAACCCTTTGAATACGCAAGGCGAACTAAAAGTAAAAGAAAAGTTTGCATGCTTTAAGGAAGCTAAATAAATGAAGCAAAAGTATTTGGCCTTTGAAAACTTCGGGCCCTATTTTCATGGACAGGCTTTGTGTAAAAAATAATGGATCTTCATTTTTGTGCCAGGGCAAGTCTTGGTTACCATGTTTAGGATTTTGGCAGACCGTGCTGCAGCTAGCTGAGCGTTCTGAGGACATTTTCAATTAAACGCCCATGGTGCACCAGACAATTTGGTAAGAGACATTTAATTTTTAAAAAAATGTGTCACAATAATATCCAGGCCTCGAGAGCCAGACTTGCAGGTGTTGTTCGTTGGCAAGCACCTGGAAGCTGTGCCTGCGCCCATGGGGCCCGGCCAGGCTCTGCCCGAAAGGACAATGTGGATCTCACTTCCAACAGACTCACCACCTGTGGGAGACGCCAAGGGGGCCGGGTGCAGGCGTTGTTGGAGCTCCAAGGAATGAACATTGAGAGCGTTTCAATTTTTGAGTACCTGGGTGTCCACGTAAAACAATAAACTGGACTACAGCGAGAACACAGACACACGCTACAGGAGAGGTCAGAGCCGACTCTTCCTTCTCAGGAGGCTGAGGGCTTTCAGCGTTCAAGGGCCACTCCCGAATAACTTTTATGAACTCCATAGTGGCAGCGGCTTTTTTCTTTGGAGTGATCTGATCTCTGGAGTCAGTGAACACAGTGCGGGACAGCATGGTGATGGCTAAACTGTCAACCGTGCTAGACAACCCTACGCTCCCCCTCTGGGACACTCTGAAAGCAGCGTACAGGTGCTTCAGTGACAGACTTTTACTCCCGCACTCAGTGAAGGAGGTATTCCGCCGCGACTTCCGAATCACAGCTGTCAGACCATGCAACCGTAACATTATACAGTTGGATAAAATGGACTGGAGAGATTAGATAGTTTATGCAGGACAATAGTTTAGGTTTTTGTTTTCGGCAATGGGCTTCTTGTACGAATGTCTGCCCTTGCATGCTATTTTTTTATTTCCTGGATCCATTATTGCTGCTGAAACACTTCAAATGTCCCCATTGCGGGATTAACAATTTTTATCCTATCGTATCAACAAAATGAAGTAGCATAGTAAAGTACTTACCCTCATAAAGTACTTACCCTTGAAAGACAGCCGCATAATTGTATTGCACTTAGCAGCCAGCTCCATACCATTTTGTATGGACATCATCTCATTGAGCAAGCAGGGGAAGTGTTGTGTGTGTACCCACAAAAAAAAAAAAAAATGCATGAGAAAAAGTTATGAAGCCATGTTGGCGCATGGGCAGGCCCACTTGGCGGGAGATAAACACGGAGGAGGTGGCGGCCTGAGCAAATGTACTGCGGCCCCTGTAGAATAAACACCACACAAGTGGAAGAAGAGCGGGGGAAGGAGATTGTGTGTGAGCGCTCGTATGTGAGCGCTCGTGTGTTTGCGTGTGTGTGTGTGTGTGTGTGTGTGTGTGTGTGTGTGTGTGTTTTCAGTTGATTAAGAATGCCATGCTTCCAGGCAAAAAAGTAATAGTCCAAAAACGACAGTCAGTTGTGCAGTATGGGTTTAATAGTAGTGAGCATGTGTGAATGAAGTAGAGAAGAGTATTAGTTTGTAGTGTCTACATTGTATAGTAGTTCTGTGGATATAATAAAGAAGTAATTTACGTATTTACTATGCTAGGAGTTTGTACTGTATGTATAGTGTGGTAGTAGTTTTTAGTTTTTACATGTTATAATATTGTGCATATAGTAAAATGGTAGTGTACATATGATAGTAGTAGTATGTAGTGTAGTATATAGTAGTAGTAAGTACAGTATATAGCACCGTAGTCATTTGTACGATGTATGTACTATATTGGTAGTTTGTAGTGTCTATGTAGTATAGTTGTCTTTTGTACTACTGTATATATACTCGAGTAGTAGTTTGTACCGTGTACTGTATATCGTTCAGGAGTAAGTAGCTGAAGTAGTAGTGTTAGTATTGTGTACATGGTGTAGTAGTAGTTTGATGGGTAAATGCAGTATATAGTGCCATAGTTATTTTTAGTGTACATAGAGTAAGAGTAAAGCAGTAGTAGTTTGTACTATATAAATTATACTATTGAAAATTGTATGCTAGTAGTTTGTAGTGTGTGTATAGAAGAGTAGTTAGCACTGTATATACTGTAGGAGTCATTTGGGCTGTTCAAATAGTATGGTAGTAGTTCAACTGAGTAACTGCCCACTAAACTCACCTTCTCACCACACAGCAAATGTCTGCAGTGCATACAAAAAAAACAAAAATTAAAGCTGAGCTGTATTTGTATTTTCTTAATCTCATCATATAAATACATTGAAACATTTATTTGGAACATGTGGTTGACAGAGTGAGAAAGAAAAGTAAGACAAAAAAGAATGAAATGCAAGGCGAGTACACGTGTGATCAATGTCGCAGACACCCCTACGATTGGATGCAGTGTTGTCCAATTTGCTCATAACTGATCCAGCAAGGTACAGATTAGCAGCATTTTATAATTTTAACCAGTACTTTTGATGGCAGACTGGGACTTCACATGAGCTCACAGTGCCCTTTTTGGTTCTATGAAAGATGTTTTTTTTTTCTGCCTCCAGGTAACAGTTTATTTAGTGTGTATGCCGTCGCTTAAACAAGAAAGCTGCAAATATACGTAATACACCGCTAACACAAAGGCTAACCTCAAAATAAAAACACCAAGCATTGACAAGCTTTTTTATTTCGAATTTTGCCCGCATGGTGGCATGACACGGCGGCCCGGTGGTCCAGTGGTTAGCAACCTCACAGGTTTCAACTCCGGCTCCGGCCTCCCTGTGTGGAGTCTGCATGTTCTCCCCGGGCCTGCGTGGGTTTTTTCCGGGTACTCCTCCCACATTCCAAAGACATGCATGGCAGGCTGATTGAGCACTCTAAATTGTCCTTAGGTGTGAGTGTGAGCGGGGATGGTTGTTCATCTCTATGTGCCCTGCGATTGGCTGGCAACCGGTTCAGGGTGTCCCCTGCCTACTGCCCGAAGTCGGCTGGGGTACGCTCCAGCACCCCGCCCCCCATCCCCCGCCACCCTTGTGAGGATAAAGTGGATCGGAAAATCAATCGAATCGGTGGCATGACAGCTAGCTTGACTTGTGTTTTGGACATTTCGGTTCGCCTTACCACAGTTATACATAGCTGCTATCAACAAGACACCATCCCGAAATCATATTTAATCGCCAATTCAGGATGCTAAGAAACTGTAAGTTAATTACATTGTCTTTGCATGATATGGCACATGTCTTCACCATTCCCGGCCAGTAGATAGACGCTATTTGCTAGCCGCTAGCAATGAGTGCCCAATTGGCAACAGCAAGTAGTCTGATAGCTGATGGATGAAGTACAAATGGAAGAATCGAAAAGTGTGCTGTTAAGGGCCTAAAAGAGTTGCAGGGTCGAGTGTGATAAGTATCGGCAAACAAAGATGTAGGTCAACAGTCTGCGAGTGTGTAGCGCTGACACTGGTTGCTGAAGGCCAAAACTGAGGCCGACCTTTCCCAGCAAAGATAAACATAGCAGTGACTTGATGGCCCACCATGCTCAGAACGTTGTCACACATCCTCCTACCAAGGAGGTGCCCCGACATCCGTAGTGGGATGAACTCAACCTCGTGAATCTCCTACCCATTATGTTTAAGCAAAAGTATTTGCAGGTCAGCATTCAGAAATTTGGATGTTCACAGATTTCTTTTTTTTTTTTTTTTTTTTTTGCTGTTGTTTTTTTTTTAACCTACTCTCCATTATTTGCTGACTCCCCCTCTTCTTCCTCTTCAACAATCTTCTTTTAATTCTTCACGTCATCTCATTTCCTCATTTTGGACCTTAACGTTATAGTCTGTGTTTAAAGAGGAAATATGTGCTTTGGTTTGATGGGAACTAAACTGAAAGCCCAACAAGTGCCCAAATATGGGGTTGTCAAGGAAGTGGAACAACAAAAAAAGAGCAAGTATTTTTTTATAAATAGAAAAAGTGCTTCACAGCGAGAGCTGTTCCTAGCCTCATAGTGGCAGCTCTTCCTAATATTTTAGTAGACTTGACCTTTCCGAGTTAGTCTAAAGGTGAATTTTAACAGCTGTCTTAAATATTTGTAATTTAATGTTGTACAGGATGATAGGAAGTCACCTTGAATGACCTCTGCCAAGGAGGGCACTCTTATTTATAGTTTGTGAGTGACGAAAAACAATGTTCATTTTGCTGCATTTTATTGAATGAATAAGAATGAATAATACATCAGTTTAGACTAAATTTACAGGCAGGATGAGTTGCTCCAAATAAGATTTTCTGGCCCTGGCAGAGGTACAAGGCCGAGGAAAATGCCATGATTTATTTATTTCTTTTCTTAATGAAAATTCAGGATTTTTTTTTTTTACAAGCATCTAGCATGAATTTTAATGACAACATTTAAGTGTACCTTTTGGTGTAAAATATGTGCCTTGACTGAATAAAGGTTGAATACTTTAGATCTAGCTTTGCATGTCATCTAAATATGGATCAAAACCCAAATCTGAATCAGCTATCTGTCAATCGCAGTGTAAATGGACCGAGTCCATCCAACTTTGTCAGTGCCAACCCATCAGAGAGCTTATACTTAGTTTCATGTTCGTATTTCTTATTTATTACTGTATGACTATGGACTTCAAATGTAGCTTGCGCAAATAATTATCCATATTTATATGTCTTAATTCACACTCATTGTTCAAATGCCCCTGCAGAATATGATTTTACTTTATTGCACATTTACAATTCATTATTTTACGGTTTATAATTTCCTTCAAATTTCAATGTGCAAGACAAAAATTCGGCATACAGTCCGTATCCACAGATGTTTCATACATTGCACAAATTGGTCAGTTAATAATTCATCATTATCTCGATTTGTACAAATGTTACTGTAGCATAACTAGATTATACTTACTGCATCACTTACCAGGTACCAACGTGCAACATCTTTATCTGCTTTTTCTCCTTGTTTTTCTTGTTTGGGTAAAATTTAACAAAATCTGATGATTACTCCATAAAACTGTTTTTTGTTTGTACTTTGTTGGTTTTTATTTGCATAAACTACTGTATAATATAAGTCATATAAAGTAAAAAATACTTTGTTTTTGTGTGTGTAATGTAAATGTCAAAGGGAAATGGCCTCATTGTTGGTCGTATTTATTTATTTATTAGCATTTTTAGCTGTCAAAAGTGTAAAAAAAATTCAACCACTGTGTTTGTATTGAAATGTGCACAAGTGGGAAATTTGTAAAAAATTAGCTCGGGCCGTCACCTTCAGTCCATCATTATTTCAAGCTGAACCTAACTGTAATCGTCAGTCGCTCAGTCCCTCATATTTTCTCACCGCGCTTTCGCCATCTCTTCCATCAGTTAAAAAACTAAACAAAATGTTAGAGTTCCACAGATGAAAAATCCAACTTGATTCAAAGGGTAAATGGAGTGCACTACAGTATATATCAGTGTATCTACATCATTACAAACCCCACAGAGGTTTACGCACACATACATTTCGTATACATTTATTTGCCAATCTATTGAACAGTTAAGTATAGTGTGAGCACACTGGTGGCTGTCTGCCACCGTTTTAAATCTTACATCCCCCCCAAAAAATATTTCTTTAAAGTTTGGTTTACTTGAACCAGAATCCCATGTTGCATTGAAGCCAAAGGTATGCTCCTGGTGGATTAATGTATCTCGTAAATCCTTGTGAAACTGAAACCAAGTTGCCAATACTGTGGTTGTTTTTTTTTCTTTTTGCATCTTCTTCTTCTTCTTCATCTTCTTCATCTTTTTCTTCTTCTGTCTTTTGGAGGTTGGCAAATGACTTCTGACCACCTTCTAAAGTGGCGTGTGTGTCTGCATAATACCTGTACTATTTCACAACCTCTTATTTAACCCTAGTGTTTCCACAAATAACAATTTTAATTTTAATTTGAAATCACTTGACGTGTAAAAATGTCTGAATATTCACGCTACTTTGTGATGTACTCTTAAACTAGTTGTTGTCTTGCCTGATTGTATTTAATACATGATTCGAATACATGCTCTGTTGTTTCTTTGGTGCATACCCCCACCTACTGTACAGGAAGTGCAAAGTGTTTCCATATGAAGTCAATGCAGTCGACTCAAGCAACCAGCTGTATTCGCCCGTGCGAACAAACACTTGCGAGGGAGGTGTCATTGAAACGGGCTTCGTCAGTGACGGACTGAGAGGTCTGTTGGTACTTGATGATTACACTGACGGCCGAAAACCCAGGTCTGTCAGTTTATCTCTCTCTCTCTCTCTCTCTCTCTCTCT